AAAAAAAACAAACAACAACCAAAAAACCCCAACCCTTGTCATTGTGGCGTTCTCAGAGTGTTCTGTCTGTACTTAGCATTTTTCAGGACAGGGCCTCCCCCAAACAAACGCCTGTACATCATTTAAATCATTCTTATTTCTCCTCTCTGGGTATTCTTTGTTGCCACCTTGCAGGAGTTCGTTACTTCAGCTGTTTTTATGTGACAAGAATCATGCTTTGAACTTTGTTGTCCAATACAGTGGACCCTAGCCGTGCGTGATTATTTAGGTTGAAATTAATTAAAATTAAGTTTTAAAATTCATTTCCTCTATGGCTATGGCTGCATTTCAGGTAGCCACATGTGGCTGATTGGCTCCCTTATTGGACACTGCAAATAGGGAACGTTTCCGCCATTGCAGAAGATTTTAATGGACAAAGCTGGTTTCTGTTTGTTTTCACTTTGTATTAAGGTACTTAGTAGCTGTGTTTCATGAAACTATAATTTTTTTTTTTCAGGATACGCCTTTGAGTACCTTATCGAAACATTAAATGACAGCTCACGTAAGAAGTTCTTCAATGTACCTAGACTTGGAGGCACCAAGTATGGTAATGTTGCTTAAATTTTCGGGGTGGGGGGGAGGGATTTAGTTTCCAATAATAAAACTGCATTTGTTAAGCTCAGCTGAAGAAATTTTAAATTTACTCCCACCATGTTGTAACAGGTAAGCCTACACATACCTGTAACATTTTAAAATCTCCTGTTGGGACTTTTGTTTGAGGGAGGGTATAAGTCCATATCTTAACTTCTCATTTAAAAATGTAAGTTCATTTAGCAGGGGTTTTTTTTTTCCGCAGAGAAATTATTTAAAAAACAAAACAAAACCTGACTGATGATATTCTATACCTATCATACCCATGCTTTAGTTTTTCACGTGAACAGTGCCCACCATTCTTTACCTGCTGTACTTGAATCGGAACCGTCAACAGGGCCCGCTGATGTGAGTTGTTCTCCAGGGCATGGCTTGCCCTGGCCTGTGCACCAGCACCGTTGCCAGACCTTTGCAGGTGCCTGACCACGGTCAGACCCTTCACTGAGAGCTCAGAAGACTGAATTTGCCTCAACCCTAGGGTATCTGATGGAAGTCTTGACTCTATGGACAATTGAAAACTGAACCAGCCAATGAAGAGAAGACCTGTTTGGAAGAGTGTTTTTTGTTTGGATTTTTCAGTGAAAACTACTGAAAAGATAAATGCGAAATCGATTGCAGTGCGTTTTGGAGGGAGCTTTTCTTTTAATCTTTTCTTCTTATAGTCTTTAAGAAGATTGCTTTTGTGATTTTCCTGTAGATTTTGATGTGTCTAAATATTGTAGACTGCCACTGGCAGTTTTTTGTGTACATCATGAGAATATTTCAATTTTTGGAGAAGGAACCTATCTTAGAACTAGGTTGCCTTTTAAAAATAAAAGGTTCTCCAAAATGGGAGCAGTACCCTTTACCTTACATCTTTGGGTGCGGTGGTTTGTATTAGGAGAGGCTGGTGGTTTTCTTAGTGTCGTATGTCTTTAATTCACATTTCTTTCATTCTTTCAGTGATGGTGAATTTTTAAATCTTGAACAGGGAACAGCTAAAGTGCTTATGTATAAGAAAGATCTTTTATTTCCCTTTACTTTCAAATATCTAGTGATTCTGGCCTAGAAGTTTCTTAACCCATATTTTATAGCTTAACGATTGAAAGAACATATGTGCGGATATTTTAAAAATTAAGTATGAATTCTTTCTGTGGATAATATGTGGGAATGTGCCCATTTGAAAACGGCCTGTATTTCCAAAATGCAGACAATCAGTAGGAAACTATCAAAAATAACTAAAATGTTTTGAAAGAGAATGGTTAATAACACAAAAGCTAAATTTTCTCTGGAAAATAAGTTTTCGTGGTCATCCGGATAACTGAGTTCCAGAACACCGAGGTGTTATAACCATGAAAAAAATAATAAAACACCTGTAAATACAAATGCCTTCAAAACAGAAATTTGGTTTTTATTTCCATGGGATTAAAGCTCTGTTTTATTCATGGAGTGGTTATTAGGAAAGGTTTATTAATAATTAGTACCTTCTTAGTCCTCACTTGGGGGAATAAAATCGGAAAGAAGTGACTTGGGAAGACAGGAGTCGCTTCAGTGGAGGGTTGTTTTGCTTGTTTATCATCAGAACAAAGAGTCTTTGTTGCACTTCTGGAGGGACCATGTTGGATGGCCTTCCAGAGATGTGCTTAGGGGACCCCGCTTTGTAGTCACCGGGGTTTGGGACCACGGTCTTCTCTGCTCCTGTCCCTCATTCTGATGCCTGCCAGGTGGAGCATGACAGCTGTAATGACTTAACTCTTGCGAGCCCCTCTCCTGAGCTCCCTGCATGCTGTGTCAGGAATGCCTGCGTCGAGCTGAGAACCTGCTGTACAGTGACTTCAGCAAACAGGTGGTTTCTCCCGTGTAACAGGAACTCTAGATTTGGGCAGACGGGGACCTTATAGCACCAGTGCCAGCAAGGATCCAGGCTTCTTTTTTTTTCTGTTTTGCCTTCGTTGTTTTGGTCACAAAGAGCCGCTGCACCTCCAGACATTGTCCATGTCCTCGGCAGCTTGAAGGGCAGCAGAGGGAGAAAAGCCCTCTGCTTTTGCCTGTATCTCCTTGGCCAGGTCGGTGGCCCCTGTCCACTTCGGGGAGGCTGAAGGTCAGAATAGGTGGCTTTCCGGCTTTTACAGTAGATGCGGCAAGGGAGAAAGGGTTGAAGTGGTTGGGGAGTGAGCCAGCCTGGATTCTTCCTTACTCTGTCTGTCTTTCCATAGAGCACAACATAAATGACTTCACTTCTGTGGGCTGTTTTTTGTTTTATTGCCGTTTGATCTTTTTGCTTCCCAGGTTTATACTCATGGTGTCTTTATGGAAGTGGACACATCCTGCACATTGATTTCACTTCGATCTTCTATAAGTTCCTTGGCAAATCGCCTTTTTAGTGATCGGGAGCTGCCTGTCAGGCGCTCCGATGCACAGACTACAGCCTTCGAGATTTTGAGTAACTCTGTTACACATCTCTGGATGTTTCCAAGGAGGGGAGAAATCACTGTTCCCTGGGACAGTCGGACTGCTTTCTGAAGGAACTAGGACTTGAGTTAATACTGAACAGACGGGTCATGCAGGACAGTCAGCACATAGGGAGTGAGAACGGTCAGCAGTTAATAGAACAAACGGAAGGGGAAGTGTTGAGGAAGGGGGAGGACAGTGCAAAGACTGGCCTGGCGGTGGTGAGTGTTTCAGAGCGGCTGTCGCTGAGCACGGGGTGTTCGGCTGGAGTAGAGCCCCGGGCCCCTTCTTTATTTCAGGCCAGCTCATTCACCCTCTTTCCCTTCCTGACTGCTTCACTACTGTCCTGTAGTAGAGCCGAGGCTTACTTTTCCACATCCTAACCTAGCCTCTGAAAAAGCCTATTTTTTAGGAGAGTTTTTATTGTTTATAAGAAATTAGACTGGGTATGAGAAACGCAAGAAGACAACACTTCAGGCAGTGCAGAAACTGTCATTTTAACCTGTGGGTACAGATACATACAAATGTGCTACTTTTAAGAGAAATACGGTGTGTGTGGTTTCGTAACGTTTTTTTGTTTGTTTACTTGCTGTATCATGAGCATCTTTCCATGCCTTGGAATACGAGTATCCCTTGCTATCTGATCCTCTGGTTTCTGAGTCTGGGAGCGTGAGTTCAGGTAGCAAGGATACCTATACTCCTCAGCAACCTCCGGCGGCTGCACCGTACTGCCTGTGTGAATGCATAATAGTTTGGTGAGCTTCTCACCAGCTCTTCCCTATTTATAAATAAAGCTGCTGTGTGTGTGTGTGTGTGATATTTAAATTTTGATGCAAGCTTGTCATTAGCTTCATTGGTTTGAAAGCGTGCCATTCCCTCCACCTTCATCAGCATTTTTCTTTTTCACTGTGTACTGCGTGTTCCAGGCTTTACCCTTGATTTAAGGAACAAAAACTCAAGGAAAGATGTGGTTTCCACACATCCAAAGACGAAGGAAGAAAGCCGTCAGTCCTCACGGGAACCAGGATTTCTAAAGCCAGAGGCTGTTCTTGTCACTTGAAGGCTGCCAGTCTTTTTATCTGTGTTTCTTTTTGAATGTCTACCCTCTGGTCGTCTGTAGCCCACTTACTCATTTTATGTGATGCCCAGTGTAGCCGCTGCTGGTCGTTACATTAGGATTGTTTTACCAGCCAGTTAAGACTGTACCTGTGGCTGACTTTTTCCGCCTATGGTTTTAACCTAGCTTGGCTGGCTTGTCACAGGTCTGTTGCTGGAGTAGTTCTCTTGCTAGAAGGGACACAAGTCCGTGTTTTCTGATCTTGTCTCTGCACTGGACTCTGGAAAGGGCTGTGAGTTGGGTTAGCAGCAAAATAGTTTGCTTGTAAAGTTTACACACGGTGCAGAACTTTCTGAGGGTTACTTTTACCTAACATGACTTTTGTTATGACTTTTGTACCTGACTATTGTTCAGGTACAGCTGCATATTCACTCCCCCTCCACATTTTGTCCAAGGGCCTGTTGATTTTAACTTTGCTTTTGCTGACGTTTTGTGTTCTAGATTTGGCCTTTTGGGTGGCACAGAACAGACCCCTGCTACCTCAAGTAAAGAAAGATTTATCGTAATAGTGCAGAGCTCCCTGGCCGGTGAAAGGTGGCTGTATCTGAAGAAAATGCACATGGGCCAGAATTGAGGAAGTTCTTTATTTTTCCTCTCAGGGCTTCAGATTTCTGCCCCCTCAAATCTTCTGCCCCCTCTGCTTCATTGCAACCCAGCGTCCTTTGCCCACTAACTTTAGATGTGGCCCCAAATGGCAGCCTCAGTCTCTAGGTTAGCTCTTAACACCTTTCTGGTCACTCTGTGTCCTGATTGCAAATCCCTGGGACAGGGACATCATTGTCCTAGGGTATTTTTTTCTCCTCAGGCTGTAGGTCACTGACCTGTCCGGCCCTGGCTCTCGCTTGCGCGTGGCAGCCAGGGAGGTCCTGGGACACAGAGGGCCGTCCGCACCACGGGTGGCGGTTTGCACAGTGTCACGGAGCGTGTCTGTTGGGTTAGCAGCTGGTGCCGGGTTGTGTGCCTGCCAGGGGTGCCTGAGGACAGTGCATGTGTGTGCGCTTTCCTCCATAGTAGGTGCTGCTTTTCTTATTTTCTCCACCTTGTCAGTTAGTGGGCGAAAATAGTCTTGAAGAAGCAGGAATCTTCTCTCTGCCTTCTTAAATTTCATTCATGGCAGTAGTGTGTGCGTGTGTTTTAAAGGTCACAGTTCTTTATTGGAAATCTGTCCCGCCTAGTACTAGTTAGAGACAGAAACGATACCTTGACTCTAATCAGACACAGATAGGAGTTAATCCTGTTGCCAGATCTGAGGGGGTTACAAGACTTCGTAGAACTGGTCCAGGCCTCTGGCCTTGACCAGGGTTTTTAGGTCCACCCCCTAGCCACTCCAGTGGGTTCT